TTTACCAGCTACACACATTGCCACCATACCAATGTTGCCTGGTAACTCGGGCTGCATAATACTATAACCCAAGTGACTTAAACAACAGACATTTATTTCTCACAGTTCTGGAGCCTGGAGTCTAGGATCAAGGTGCCAGTAGGGTCAGCTTCCAAAGACTCTCTTTCTGGCTTGTAGACAACTGTCTTATGTGTGCTCACAATGTGGAGAGAGAGCAAGACCCCTGGTGTGGCAAAGGTCCTAACTCATCATGGGGCCCCACCCTCATGACTTCATCTAGCCCTAAGTGCCTCCCAAAGGCCCCCCATCTCCGAATACCATCACATTAGGACCTAGGGCATCAGCATATATTTGGGGGTAGGGCACAAACATTCAGTCTCTAACACTGACTGACATCCCACTGCGGTCAGGTTTCCATGAGGACAGAACACCACAGTTATACCAAGGCACGTTCCCAAGGAAAAGGAAAAAGGATTTTATGAATCTTTCATTCCCATGCCAGGCACTGTCCTAAGCCCTTGACACGATTAGATTAATTTGATTCCCACCAAAGGTCAGTGAGGTGGGTCTTATTTTTTAAGTCTATTTTATTGATTATGCTATTATAGTTGTCCCAGTTTTTTTCCCTTTGCTCTCCTCCACCCGGTACCCCCGTTCCCTCCAGCAATCCCCCCTCTCCCTCTTAGTTCATGTCCATTGGTCTTGCGTATAAGTTCTTTGGATTCTCCATTTCCTATACAATTCTTAACTCCCCCTGCCGTCTATTTTGTACCTACCATTTGTGCCGCTTATTCCCTGTACCTTTTCCCCCACTCTCCCCCTTTCCCCTTTCAGGTGATAACCCTCCATGTGATCTCCATTTCTATGATTCTGTTCCTGTTTTACTTGTTTCCCTAGTTTTTTTTTATTCAGTTGTTGATGGTTTTGAGTTTGTTGTCATTTTACTGTTCATAGCTTTGACCTTCTTTTTCTTAAATAAGTCCCTTTAGCATTTCATATAATAATGGTTTGGTGTTGATGAACTCCTTTAGCTTTACCTTGTCTGGGAAGCACTTTATCTGCCCTTCCATTCTAAATGATAGCTTTTCTGGATAGAGCAATCTTGTATGTAGGTCCTTGCCTTTCATGACTTCAGAGACTTCTTTCCAGCCCCTTCTTGCCTGTAAGGTTTCTTTAGAGAAATCAGCTGATAGCCTTATGGGCACTCCTTTGTAGGTAACTGTCTTCTTTTCTCTTGTTACTTATAACATTCTCTCTTTATATTTAACCTCTGGAATTTTAATTACAATGTATCTTTAAAAAAATTTTTTTTATTGATTATGCCATTACATTTGCTCTATTCCCCCCCTCCATTCCCCTCCACCCTGCATACCCCTCCCCCCATTTCCCCCTTTAGTTCATGCACACGTGTCTCAAATTCTTTAGATTCTGTATTTCCCCTACTATTCTTACCCTCCCCCCTATCTATTTTCTATCTACTGTCTATGCTGCTTATTTTCTGTACCTTTTCCCCCCTTCTCCTCCTCCCACTCCCCTGTTGCTAACCCTCCATGAGATCTTCATTTCTATGGTTCTGCTCCTGATCTAGCTGTCCTCTTAGTTTGCTTTTGTTTTAGGTGTGGTTGTTACTAACTGTGAGTTTGCTGTCCTTTCACTGTTCATCTTTTTTATCTTCTTTTTCTTAGGTAAGTCCCTTTAACATTTCATATAATAAGGGCTTGGTGATGATGAACTCCTTGAATTTGGTCTTATCTGAGAAGCACTTTATCTGTCCTTCCATTCTAAATGAAAGTTTTGCTGGATAGAGCAATCTTGGTTGTAGGTTTTTGGATTTCATGACTTGGAATACCTCTTTCCATCCCCTTCTTGCCTGCAAGGTCTCTTTTGAGAAATCTGCTGACAGTCTGATGGGAACTCCTTTGTAGGTGACTGTCCCCTTAGCTCTTGCTGCTTCTAGGATTCTCTCCTTCATTTTAATCTTGGCTAATGTAATGATGATGTGCCTTGGTGTGTTCCTTCTTGGGTCCAACTTCTTTGGTACTCTCTGAGCTTCCTGGATTTCCTGGAAGTCTATTTCCTTTGCCAGATTGGGGAAATTCTCCTTTCTTATTTGTGCAAAGAAGTTTTCCACTGGTGGCTGTTCCTTTCCCCCTTCTGGTACCCCTATAATTCGGATGTTGGAATGTTTAAAGATGTCCTGGAGGTTCCTAAGACTCTCCTCATTTTTCTGAATTCTTATTTCTTCATTCTTCTGTTTGATCATTTTTTTCTTCCTTCTGGTCCATTCCCTTGGTTTGAGTCCCAATTTTCTTTCCACTACTATTGGTTTCCTTTGTATTACCATTCATTTCAATTAGTTTAGCTTCCATATGTTTCTCTAATTTGTGACTAAAATCAACCAGTTCTGTAAGGATCCTGATAACCAGTGTTTTGAACTGTGCATCTGAAAGACTGGCCATTTCTTCATTGCTTAGATCTATCGGTTCTGGGGCTCTGAGTTGTCCTAGAGCCATTTTTGGTCTATTCGTACTGTTAAGTAAGCGGAGCCAAGCCTTAGTTGTTTACCGGGATGGGGCAACCCAGGTCGCTGGTTTGTGACGCTGTGTGTGGGGGCGTGGTCAGAGAAGGGGCAATGGCGGTCCTCTCCGCTAGCCCAGCCCGTCCAGTCACAGCACTCGCCCCATCTTGTTTATCCTATTGGAATTGTGCGAGCCTGCTGCTCCGCGCAGGCTTCCCTTCTCACTGGTTTCTCCACACGCAGATGCGTGACCGACCAACCGACCGCAAACAGCCCGCCGCGCCTCTTCCCTGTGCGCTCCTGTAGGTAGCTCACAATCAGCGCCTTTGGCTGCTTGCGATCCGCGCACCACCCGGGAATTTTTTCTTGCTAACCTGCTCCGCTGCTGGTTTCGCTTCTCTTACCGTTTTAGCTGAGCATTTAGATGTCTTTGGACTCCGTATTGTCGATTTTCCATGTGGCTTGGTTGTGATTGTTGTTAAAAATAGTTGTTCTTAGATTTGGTTGTGCACAGAGGCAAGGTGGTTCCTCCATCTACGTCTCCATCTTGGCGGAAGTCTAATTACAATGTATCTTGGTGTGGGCCTCTTTGGGTCCAACTTGATTGAGACTCTCTGAGCTTCCTGGACTTGCATGTCTATTTCCTTCACCAAATTAGGAAAGTTTTCTTTCATTATTTTTTCAAATAGATTTCCGACTTCTTGCTCTTTCTCTGCTCTTCCTGTCACCCCCTATGACTTGAATGTTGCTATGTTTGAAGTTGTCTCAAAGGCTACTTATACTACCTTCATTTTTTTAAATTCTTTTTTCTTCTTGTTGTTCTGATTGGTTGTTTTTTGCTTCTTTATGTTCCAAATCATTGATTTGATTCTCAGCTTCGTCTCCTCTACTGTTATTTCCCTGTAAATTGTTCTTTATTTCAGTTAGTGAATCCTTCATTTCTGTTCTGGATCTTTTTTATGCTGCTGAAGTTCTAAGTTCCTTGAGCATCCTTATGACCAGTGTTTTGAATTCTGCATCTGATAGATTGCTTATCTCCATGTTGTTTAGTTTTTTTCTCTGGAGTTTTGCTCTGTTTTTTCATTTGGGCCATGTTTCTTTATCTTCTCATTTTGGCAGCCTCCCTGTGTTTGTTTCTAAGTATTAGGTAGAGCTGCCATGACTCCATCTTGGTAGCGTGGCCTAATGTAGCAGGCCAAGGTCAGCCCCCACCTGTGTTCTGCCCAGGGCTACCCTGCCTGAGCTATAAAGCAATCTGAGATGGCTGCTACTTGTCCTGGGCTGGGAGATTCCCAGATGAAGCCAAACTGTGAAACTAAAGTTGCTGCTGCCAGTGCTGGGCCTGGAGCTCACTGGGGCCAGCTGTTTGTTTGTGAAGCATGAGCCAAGACCAGCCATTCATTCATGTCGAAAAGCAGCTTGCCTGGCTGGTGTAGCTCAGTGGATTGAGTGCAGGCCTGTGAACCAGACAATCAAGGTTCGATTCCCAGTCAGGGCACGTGCCTGGGTTGCAGGCCAGTTCCCAGAGGGGGACACATGAGAGGCAACCATACATTGATATTTCTATCCCTCTCTCCTTCCCCTCTAAAAATAAATGAATAAAATCTTTAAAAAAAAGAAAGAAAGAAAAGCAGCTTGTGTGGTCCCATAAGCTGGGTGGGGCAAAGTCTGGTGATCTCCAAAGTGAGTCAAACAGCGTTAGCCAGGTTGGTGGTGTCTCAGATATGGCACCAGCCCACTGGCTCTGCAGGGGGAGGGCTCAGAAAAGGGACAAAGGCCTCTGTGCACACTGATGTCAGACACTTCAGTTCCTTCCTGTATGCCACAGGTGCCCTTCAAGCTGCCACCATGGCACTCGTAGCATCAGAGGTGCAACTCTGAGTAGGTGAGTCCATGTGTAGGTTCTTTAAGGGGAACAGTTTTGGTCACCAGAAGTTTCTTCCACTGACTCAAACCCTGCTGGTTTTTGCAGCCAGAAGTTGTGGGGACTTATCTTCCTGGTACTGGAACCCTGGGCTGAGGGGCCTAGTGTGGGGCTGGGAATCCTTACTCCTCAGGTAACCCTCCCAAATTTTTATCCACCACACGTGGGTGAGGGACCAGCCCATTCTGTGTCTCTGCCCCTCCTATTGGTCTGAATGGATGTGGTTTCTTTAATTTTGTGTTTGTCAGACTTCCATTCAACTCGGTTTTTGACGGTTATGGGTGATGGTTGTTCTGCACTTTAGTTGTAATTTTGATGTGTTTGTGTGAAGAAGTGAGCCATGTCTGCCTGTATGTGTGTCATCTGAAATGTGTGTGACAATTCTGTGAGGTGGGAACTGTTACAGATCTCATTTCATTTCACAAAGTGGGGAAATGGAGGCATAGAGAGGGTAAGTGACTTGCCACACGGTTGATCGAGTGGTAGGCCCAGAGTCATGGTACCTGACATGTTCCACCTAATGACCAGGTGGCCTTTCCACTTCTCTGTCCTCTGCAGATAATGACAAGTGCTTGGCCCAGCCTGGCCTTTGTGGCACCCATGAACACTGCCACAATGCTCCCAGCAGCTTCAGCTGTGACTGCTATCAGGGCTTCACTCTGGACAGCTCAGCTGTGAAGGTAGAGCTGAGCTTCGGGTGGCATCCCGGCCTGGGGGTAGTTCTGAAGGACCTTGGGTGAGCCCTCTGTCCCTTTCTATCTTAAAGATATGGACGAATATGCTGGGCCCCATCCCTGCCAGTATGGCTGTCAGAACAAGCCAGAAGGCTACGGCTGCAGCTGTCCTTAAGGTTTCACCCTGCACTCCCAGTGGAGCCAGTGTGTTGGTGAGTGGCAGAGGCTGGCAAGAAGCCCGGGCCCTTATCAGCCGAGGCACACCTATCTAGAGTGGGTGACTGATAACCACCTCCCTGGAGGGTATTGTGACAGCTACAACTATCTACAGGTCAAATGGGCTGGCCTGGATGATAGCACATTTCCTACTGCCAGGAAGTCCGGGATGCAGAGCCAGTATGACAAAGTTCAAGTTCATTTCTTAGGGAGTGCTGACCTGGAGGGCTCTGCTAGGAAAGCATGTGATCCCTGGGGAAGAGTGCTGTGCCTGATTAGGACTGTGTGCTACGGGCTGGGCATGGGAGGGGTGGCCCGCGTGGTACCTCTTTGCCAGAGTTGTTGCAGAGGCTCTTGGCCTGAGGGGCTAGCCTTCCCCTCAACCTTCCCCATCGCCAGTTTTCCTTGCTGCTCTAGGCCCTCCCAGTGACAGCCTGTCCTTGCCAGCTCTCTCCCTTCCTCCCAGCATCTACTCTTAGCCCTTGACGGGGCTGCCCTCCTGCAACTTCTTCACTTCTGGTGCCCTGGGCCCTGCTGCCCACCTCTTCAGGACGAGATCTTCTCGTGGCTTCTGTGAAGAAACAGTCCCTCCCCCCACCCCACCCCCATCTCCTGCACCTCACCATCATTGCCTTTTCTCCAGCGCCCCCTCCTGCCCTGTATGGTGAGCCTCCATCTGACCTGTGGCGCCTGACCCTGGGGACTAGTCCGACCATTGCCAGCACTGCCAATTCCTTGTTCTTAGCCTGCATGCTCCTCTTCATGCTTACTTATTCCTCCGGTCATGGTTTGCCCAGGACCTGCCTGATGCCTGACATGAACCAAGAAACAGACTCCATCCTTGCCCTTCAGGCTGGTCTCATGGGAAACAGGGATTGATTAGGCTAGTGGTACTCATATGGGGACTGTTTTGCCCCCTGGGGTACATTTTGAAGTGTCTTGGAGACATCTGTAGTTGTCGTAACTATGCAGTGAGTGCTTCTGACATCGAGTGGGTGGGGGCCAGGGATGCTGCTCAACACCCTACAGTGCCCGGTGCTCTTCCACCCAAGAACTGGCTGGTCACACATATCAACAACTGCTGAAGGGGAAAGACCTTGTTTTAGAAATCCATTTAGGATTTCTGGGAAGTTTTGAAGAAATGCTTTGAAAGAAAGTTACAGCACTAGGGCTCATGGGAGGCTGAAGGAAGTTTTGACATTGGCCTTGGTCTCTGAAAGAACTGTTGTGTGTGGAGGGGGAGCATTGTTGTTGGAGGTCTCTGGGGGTTTGAAGGCTGGCCCCTTCTCTCCCTTCAGATGAGAATGAATGTATCCTGAAGCCTGTGGCAGTGCCTCCTGCCACAACACACTGGGCAGCTTCCACTGTGTCTGTCCCTCTGGCTTTGACTTTGACCATACCCTGGGGAGCTGCCAGGACGTGGATGAGTGTGTGGCACAGGGGAGACCCTGTAGCTACAGCTACTCCAACACCCCTGGTGGCTTCCTGTGTGGCTGACCCCGAGGCTGCTTCCGGGCTGGGCAAAGGTGAGGGGCTTGAGTGGGGTGCACACAGACCCTCAGACCCTGGGAGTGTCTGCACATATATGGGCCTATGCACACAGACATATAGACACGTGTGCAGAGAATGGGCCCAGAGCCCCAGCAGCACCTATAGATGTCTATAAGCTCACACCCACTGTGGTGGAATTGTCCTCATGGTACTCCTGCATAATTGCATGTCCACTGGGAAAGATGCACACTTCTTTAATGACACTTGAGCATGCACATGGCTCACACCCATGCCAACATGCCTGGGCACCCTTGTGCATTCATAGATCCAACATATGTGTGGCAAGCACACATCAGCACCCCAGTGTGCATGCAGACTTGATATGTTCATATATCCTGTGTGCATGCAGGTTCACACTTATACCCAGGGACACCAAGGATGCATGAGCACTCCTGGGATGGTGCATGCACAGACACACTAGCACATTTGCATGACAGTACTTGTGCCCATGGGCAGCATGGCTACAAATGGGTTATGGGGGTCCCCAGCCTGTCCATAAAGGCCTGCCTCATCCCCCTGTTCCCATACTGGCAGAGGGACTTTGTCTCCAGCCTGAGCTTCAGCCCCAGATCCTAGAACACTCTGGATGAGGAGGAGCCACCCTCAGCTGAAGCCAGATATGAATGCAAGATTAAAGGTCTCCCCACTCATGACCAGCCACAGTACAACATGCATGGGGACCAGCAGGTACCACAGGGGATGCACTGGGTGTGGTGGCACAGTCAGTGGTAGGGACAGTCAGAGGATACACTGAGGGTGGGAACACCAGGCCCTGTGTCCCAGCTTGTTTCGAATTGTGGTGCTTGCCTGGGCCTTCCTCCACTTCCTCAGCTCCTGGGGTTTCCTTGATGTTCTCTGGGGGAAACAGGCCCCCCAAGTTCCCCACCTCCTTACTGGTAATGAATCAGGTACCTCCCACACAGACTCTGTCCAGGCTCTGATGCTCCCCAGAATCCCTTCCACAACACTTGGATGCAGGAGAAATGGCTTGCCCCCTAACCCTGTCTGTACTCCTCACCTCACATTTGGCCAGCAAAACCCTCCCTCAGTTCTTCTGAATTTGGCACCAGTAGGGCCCATGGCAGCCAGCTTAGCCCCTTTGTTCATCACCCCCTTGGACCCTCCACCTCTGCACCTCCTTCCTGCACCTTTGATGCCTGGGCCCTCTGAAGCTGCCTCATCTTCAGAAATTGTAGGGGTCCTCCCCTCACTCTCAGGGACAGCAGAGCACCTATATGTAGCTCTGTCTCTCTTGTCCCCTGGGATCACTCCAACTGTGACCCTGATGCTAGGTTGTGCAGGATAGCAATTTTGACCCTGAGGACAAAGCCCACCTTGCCACCACCCCTCAAGGGGTCTGAAAGCTGCACATTTATTAAGTACAGTCAATGCCACTATCCCCATTGTACAAAGAGGAAACTGAGGCACAGAGGGGTTAGGTCACATGCTCAAGGTACAGAACTTGACGGTGGCAGAGCAGGGATTCCGCAGCTAGACCACATGGCCTTTTCTTCACAGCAGCCTGGTCTTCATGGCCAGGTGTCCCAGGCCCTATTGAGGCCATCCCTTTATAAGTTCTTTCCCAAAAGTCACAGAAACCACTGCCCACATCTGGGACCAAATTCCTTTACTCCAAAGATTTCTCTGAACATATGCACAGTAATGGAGCAACAGTGAACAAAAACCCCAGAATTCCTTGCCCCCCTGTGGCTGATACTCTAGTAGTGAGACATATAAGAAGCAAGTACAGTGTTGTATTTTATAACACATGATAGAATATGATACAAGACAAATGCTGTGGGGGATGTGAAGGTGGAAGCGGGATAGGGTTGTTGGGTTTGAGAGGTTTTTAATATTAGATATTTAATATGAGTGAATTACTTTGCTCTCTTTTTTTCCCATTAATTTTTTTTTTAACTCTTGTTGGGAAAAGCAGTGGCTGCATATACTATCCCATTATTACCATAAGTTTCTGCTTTTCAAGGGTAAGACCCTGTCTGTATAGGGTTTGCCACTTGTCACCAGCTCTTAGTCCTCAGATAGAGTGGAATGTGTTGCGTCCCTGTTCGGATGCCAGATGTTGCAGACCCTGTCCAGCAGAGTCCGCCTGTTGTGGTTTACAACGAGAATCATTCACAGGTGACAACAACCCTGTGTGGAAAAAGGGAACAGGCACGACTACTCTCTCGAGGGGAGAGTGCCTATGGTGCCTCGGCCACTCCCTCAAGAGGGGAGCACCCCGACCCTTGCCTGGACAGGCTTTTATTGTTTTCCTGGGGTCTTACATCATAGAAAGATTTATTATCTATCACATAGAATATTATTGTCTACATTCTAGGTACAGTTAAGGAAATAAAAATAACATGCAAAGGGGAATGACAATGAGCTCATTAGCTCTGCCCTTGGGAGAACTCATACAGGCTTTGGAAATTACCTTGAAGATAGACAATATGCATTTGTTGTTTTAGACCAGGGTGAAGGGGTTTTAGCAAGAGCAAGCTGTAACAATCTATATGCATTTTCTAGGCCTGATTCCCACGGGAAAACTCGGTTTGAAGGTCTGGCTCCTGCCCACCACTTCACATCTGTAGGTTTTCCATACAGAGCTGAGTCACATTTGCAAGGCCAAGACAAACTGGTCTCCTACAGAATGTGGTTGGACTACTAGGATGGGACCTGTGGCTTTACCTGCAATACCCACATACTGCCAGTAGGTGTCATGAGGAGCACATGTCTGTGCAACATCTCCAGAACTGAGAGGCTGGGAAACAGGATTGCTTTCATTTGTAATGCAACAGCGAAACACCCGAGAAGCATATCAATTAAGCAAAACAAATACAGCACTGCTCAGAGAAAAGGAGAAGGAAATGCAGATAACCTCCTGTGGAACTGAATGTGGCACCCAGCCCTAGTTAGCCTGCATTTGGGGCTGGCTGACTTAGGGCCCTGTCTGGGCCAGGAACAGGAACACACTCACAGAAGCACAGATAAAGGGAGGTTTGTCATCTGCACACAGAGGGCTTTCAAAGAGCCCAGATGCAGGAAGTGCAGCAGGCTTCTGGGAACTGGAAAGCTATCTGGCAACTCTTCTCTCTGGCCCAGCTGGATCTTGTGTTTTTCTCATTGTGTCAGGTCTGGCATCTACTTGAGGCTGGCTTCTGCTGCAAGGCCCTTGGTTATAATTCCAGCCATGCCTGGACACCTTTGAGTGGCTGTAGGGCTGTGGGGCCTGATGCAGTCTAACTGACTCCCTGTTCAGGACTCTGGAGTCATAGCCTCAATTCTCTCTGCCCGGACTGGCAGGGATCTCACGAAATCCCACCACCAAGATGAAGGGTCTGGAGTCAGCATGTAAAACCGACCTCCTACTTTCCTTCTTTGCTTTCTACCTGAGAACCAGGCTCCAATTTCATCTGTCTATAGCCCAAGCTGACTAAGGCTTTGTGGACTGAAGGCTAGACAGAAATCAAGGGCAGAGGGAGTTCTGTGTTTTCCTCCTCTTTAGAGATTGGCTAAAACCTCCTGTTGGCTGTGACTCCATGGCCCCCTCCTCACCATATTGCAGTTCCACCAGCCTCTAACTATCATCTACCTGGTCTTTCTCCCTGGGTGAGCCTTGATTTGGAGGCCCTACTGACCTTGGGCTTCAATCTCTCACACCTAGGCCCGGCTGAGCACATCCTGGAGCTGCGGCCAGCACTGCAGAGTCTAGGAGGCTGGGTCCTCTATGTCATTGCCCGTGGCAATGAGCAAAGTTTTTTCCGCATGCATCACCTCCTTGGCCTCAGCTCCCTGCAGCTGGGTCACCAAAAGGCCAGGGCCTGGAACCTACCAGCTGGAGGTGGTGAGTGTGGCAGGGCCCTGGAGTACCCATCCAGAGGGGCAGCTAGGGCTAGGGCTCCAGGCCTTGTGGCTGAAGGTTTGGCTGCCGCTACTGTAGCCTGGCTCCAGGCCCCTTCCACAGCTGTCTCCCCCCTCTCTCATTCCACGGGGTTTGGGGGAAACTGATAAAACTCTGCTTGCTATACCACAGGGAGCTCCTGGTAACAAGCCAGGGTCTTGATAGGCCTCAGTGCCCCCCCCCCATGCTGTCTTCCTCTCCAGAGGCGGGGGATTCTGGAACTAGTAGGGGTCCATCCCTGGTGGCAATGCTGACCAGGTGGAACCCCAAAACTCAGGAAGAGTGACATGCTATGCTATGACCTCATAAGACGAGCCTCTCTCCTGGAGGCAGCCGGAAGCTGCAGCCTGCACCTTCACCTCCAACACTGGGGTCAAGCAAAGCTCTGTGATTCACTGTATCTTCTAGTCACCTCAGGCTAAACTTCTGCACTGCACAAGGACTCAACCCCCAGAGGTCGGTGGGACAGAGGAACAGCCGCAGAGGTAGTTATAGAGCTCATCCCTCCAAGCAGAAGGGCCCAGAGGGCCCCAGCCAGTGTTGATGACATGCAGCTGTGTTCCTGCCTCCTAGGGTTCTAAGGACACTTTATATCAGAAGTAGAGAAACAATAAAGTTATTTTGAGTTACATCTGCCCCCTTAGCATGTTCTCAAAGTAAGGAGTTGCTTCAGAGCTACATGGAGAACTAGAGATCCCAGGAGAGCAGAAGCTGAGGGAAGGGTGAGCTATAGCCCAGGGCTCCAAGGAGACAGCTTGTAGGTGAGATGGGTAGAGACCACCTCCATCTGGGGTCCGCCAACTTCAGGCCTGTGCATTTGGCACAAACTGAGCCCTCATGGGTTCACCAGTACTGATGAAAATGACTCCCCTTTCCAGCCCATGTCCTCCATACTGGGCACCATTCTAAGTCATTTCCAATTATTGACCTAGTACCTCTTTGTGGAAGAGGCAGTTATCTTCATCCCCATTTTGCAGATTGGAAAACTGAGGCTTTGGGAGGTCAGCAACTTGATTAAGGTGACTCCAGGTTTCAGGTAGCAGAGCCGGGCTCAAAGTCGGGCTGCTGTGCCATTGTCTACTACGCCATGCTGCCTGGCTCCAGGTTGGGCCAGATCTACCAAGTATGACACCTGGGATTCTCATCCTATAAATATATAGTCAGTGTACATGTTTGAACACCACATTCAGGTGCGTGTTTCATCCCCACACACTGGTATGAGGCAGGCAGTGTTATTACCCTACTTTATGGGGGCAGAGCTGAGGCTTAGAGAGTTGTGGAATCTGCCTGGGTCACCCACAATATGCAATGGGGCTGGGATATGGCCCAGGTTCCTCCAAGTCTGGCTCCTTTCCCCAAACCACCCCAAGTGCTCTGAGAGGGTGCATTTGATTTTTGCTCAGAGCACTCTCTGTCATGGTAGAACCAGGCTGCCTTGAGGATGGCACAGTTGGGTGGATCAAGTTTGTGTGGTGACCTGGACCCCAAAGTATGGGGTCCTTCTTCCTCCAGCAGAGCAGTCGCTGGACTCTGTCTTTGCCAGGGTCTGGGTCACTCAACTTATCAGGAGCTTCTGAGCACCCATCAGAGCTCACAGAGGCTTCATCCATTAGCTAGTCACTGCAGCCCAGGGACTGGGCAGAGCAAGCCTGTGAAACCCTACTTTATAAACAAGGAAGGAGGCAGCAAGAGAGTGAATGGTTCACTCAAGGTCCCCAGCTGAACCCGCATATAGGCCTGCATCAGGCACATTCAGAGCTCAGCCTTCAGAGCTCTGGTCTCCTGGAGTGAGGGGATCATGTGGGATTCCGCACAGGCTGGGACTGGCACCCCATAATACATGACAGAGACAAAAATGATGTCCCATCAAAGGTTTATTTTTTTTAAAAAAAAAGCAGCTCAGGAGTGGTGTCTATGGAGAGACTAGAGCTTCGCAAAGACCCAGAGGGCCACAGGCATGTGTAGCCTGGGACAGGAGACATATCAGGGTGATGTGTTTCAATGATGCTCTCTAAGAATCATTGACCAGGGCTGGCTCTGGTTGCTCAAGACACAAAGAGTTTAAAATGAGGTCAGCTCCTTCCTTCTAGTCACCTGAGGAGCAGGAGGCAGGAGGGCTGAGGGAACCAATGCAGGCTCCGAACAGGGGCTGAGAGCTGGTCTGGAGGAGAGTGCAGCTGGGAGCCAGCAGGGCAATGGGCGCAGTGGAGAGAGCTCCAGCCCATCTCACGTGGGTTGATTCTGGAGACTTGCGGGCTCAGGGTCCTGCAGGAGATATTGGAGAGGACGACAGCAGGTGATGGGCAGTGGGGTGGAGCTGAGGCCCCCTGGACTGGATCAGTTGTGGACACCTAGGACCCTCCCATGTGAGCCCATGGAGCTGTCCAGAAAACCAACCCTCCTTCATCCTGGAGATGAGTCCCCTGACCTAGTCTGGGCTCATCATGAGCCCTCATCGTGGTGAGCCCAGAGATGGTCACATGATCTGAGTCCCTACCTGAATTAGCCTGTGCTGGGAGTAAGGCATTCTTCTTGCTGCTTCTGGTGTGACCTCTAGGCGCAGAGAGTGGAAGCCTGGAAGTTTTAGGGCTCAACTTCCCCACAGTGGGACAGCCTGTCAGAAAGATTGAAGAGAAGTAGTTAGGAGAGTCCCCAATCCCTTTGAGCACCTGGATCCAGCATAGCCTGAGCCATTGGCTGGTAATTTCAGCCCATGAGTGTTTCATTTACTTGGCTTTTCATCTCCGGCAATGGAAAGTGTTTTGACGAAAGGAACTGCTCATTCCCACAGTCTCCCATGCCCTAGCAACAGGCTATCTGTTGGGGTAGGGGCAGCTGTCAGCATGCTGGACTGCAATCCCCTCTTTGGGGGTTGAGAAGCTCAGGAGCCTGAAGCAGCGAGGAGAGGCTCCCTAGATGCTGGGCTGGGGTCTTACTCACGTTGGGAGGCTTTCTGGGTACTTTGGTGATGCTTTAGAAGGCCCTTGTTCCGAGTATTAAGAAGCCTTATCCCATCTTGTACCCACTTGGCCTGTGGGTTCCCACACACAATGAGCTCTCTGTGAGGAAAGTAGAATCTGCAAGTGGGAGGGAGTGCCAGTTTAGTGTGTAAGCAGGAAGCAAAGTTATATATGAGCTCCCGCATGCCCCAGCCCCCACTGTCCCACTCACATAACAGCAGGCAGGTTACAGCTCCTGCTCACATCCAGGCACCAGTAACTCTGGGCACGCCTGAGCACCCTCAGGCTAACGTGGGTGTTGTAAGCCAGGCAGCAGTCCTCAAAGTCGCCTGCAATCACACAGCCACCCCAGGCTCACTCTCCTATGTGTGCCCATGTGGCTGCAACTGCACTGAGTGTGCAGACACAGCCACCAATGCAGGCACCTACAAACATACCATGACAGTCCCAGGCCCTGTGGAGGCCGAGGGACAGCCCAGGTGATAAGGAAGCCATGAGGCTCACCTTTGGCCCTTGATATGGGGGCATCTGGCAGGAACTGCAGAGGGCCTGAAGGACATGGCTGGGAAAAGGTCCCAGGGCCTCAAAATGAATGGGGAACCAAAGCCATTTCCACTCCTGCAAGGGGGGCAAGGAGGACAGGTGCAGTACCCTGAGGAAGGGCTAGAGGCCCCCACTCCTCTTTGGGTTCCTCCTAAAGTGAGCGGGCTAGTTGGCCTACTGCTCCTGATGTCCTGGCTCCTGTTCCAGGCTGGCCTTCTCCCACCTATGTCTATCTCAGTTACCTCCCCCTCTCTGTCCCCATCAGAGTGACCACTCCGAGTAACCTGACCAGGGACCAGGAGGTTTCTGTTCATTTATTTACCCTTTGGTTGAACAAAAGCATATAGAGTTCCTATTCACAGCTGGATATCTAGACAAACGGGGGACTTGGACCAGTGTAGTCACTGTGACAGGGGACTCAAGAGTTGGACATTTTTAGTTTTGAAGTAATATTTTATGGAGCCAGCATGGACGAAGCTGACTTCAGCAGACCATAGGCAATTTGACCTTTGTGCCCCAGGGGACTGTAAGTAATCAAGATGGCATCTGAGCCACTATGTTCCAGGGAGAGATGCCCAGCCCATGGCCCAGGACATAGGACCCAGGGCACAGATTAAGAATCACCGATCAAGCCCTGGCTGGTGTGGCTCAGTAGATTGAGTGTCAGCCTGCGAATCAAAGGGTTGACGGTTTGATTCCCAGTCTGAGACATATGCCTGGGTTGCGACCCAGGTTCCTAGTTGGGGGTGTGTGAGAGAGGGCCACATATTGGTGTTTCTCTGCCTCTCTTTCTCCCTCCCTTCCTTCCCCTCTCTAAAAATAAATAAGTAAAGTCTTTAAAAAGAAAAAAGAATCACCGGTCAGGGGATGAAAGGATACTAGGGAAATTGCAACTGCAGCTTTTCTCTGCTTAATCTTTTTCCTGGATTCCAAATCCCTTAGCTACATTTTTTTTCCTCTGAATTCCAAACCCCTACCCACACTTTTTCCTCCTTGTATAAAAAAAGGCTGGCTTGAAATAAAATGGAAAATGATCTGTCAGGGTACATAATCCACCATCTTCTCAGACTGCCAGCTATCTAAACAAAGTGCCCATAAAGATTCAATCCCTGTCTCTGATTATTAGTCCTGGTGGAGACAGGCAGCATAATGCTGACCTTTCTGATTTCAGCTGGGAATGTCCTGGCCTAGTGGGAGACTGGGAAGTCGATGTACTATGCTGGTAGACAGGGCAGTGGCAGGGGGGGTGCTCAGGGACCTGGAGGGGAGGTGCTCAGAGGAGGTACTGGTGCCAAAGGGTCTGGAAACAGAGGATGAACTGATGCAAGAGACATGCAGGGGCCTTCAGGGTCCTCTGGGAGCAGTTCCTCTGCTGACCCCTGGAGGGACCACGACTGAGTCCTGGCAGAGTGCACAGGGGAAGGGAGGGAGAAAGGGAAGGACTCCAGGGACCCCAGAGGGCAAGGGGCAATGCAGTCAGATGGATTCTGGGCTGGTTTCAGGCAGGAAGTCCCTGGGGCTGGGGGCCACTCTGCCCCCATGGTCAAAGAGCCAGGGCTTGGCCTGGCTGCTGCAATAGGTCTATGATAGCAGGACAATTGGAACGGTGCCCAGCTGCTTCTGGGGCAAAGACTAAGGTCTGCTAGGAGCCATGGGGAGAGGTCCTCAGACCTAGTGAGCTGCGGGTGGGGCAGGGGGGGTGGGGCCGTGGGACCTTGACTGCCCTACCAGCTGCAGGATTTCACAGGGACAGAGGACACACCGGTAGGGCTCCTGTCCCGGGGGCACTGAATGCCCAGAACTGGCTTGTAGTCATCAAAATCCTCAAGTACCTAATCTAGGGAGGGGAGGGAAGGGGTTTGCTGTTAATAATAATCATAGTAATTATTGTTGTTTCAGGTATGCACTAGGCCAAGAGTTTTGCAGGCATCAGCCTGTCAGATCTTCATGGCCCCTCTCGGCAGTGGGAATTCAAAGCACCACTTTGCAGGTGAGGAAGCTGAGGCCCATAAAGGCTGAGTAGTGATTCTCTGCCTGAATACACAGTTAGCCCAGGTTGGGGGAAGCTAGGATGGGACCCATTCTTCCTAGTCTCCAGGGCTTTGCAGGGTCAGGTCACTGCAGTGTGTCCCTGGTGGTAAGGGGCCAGGCCACCACTAGGAGCCACCCTCTCCTCCCCACATCCCCTGGGCTGCCTGGAGTCCCTGCAAGGAAGACTTAGGTTGTGGACTGTGGTGAGGCACCTGCAGCCCCACTGAGCTGCAGAGACACCAGGAGTTTCTGCATGCCTGGGGTGGGGCAGCTCTCAGAGAATTCAAAGGTAGAGACGAACTCAGGCTTCTGGTGGAGGGGATGGGCAAATGGGGGTGCACAGAAGGATGGATGAGAGAGGGGAAATCCGGGGAGAGGATGTATGGTCCAAGACAGTACCTTGTGCTTGGACAGCAGGGGCCCAGGTACTCATGAAGCAGGTCACCAGGCAGGCCAAGAGCCACAGGTTCATGGTGCAGGCTGGTCTTCCTCCTCCTGCACCTTGAGGGATAACAGGGGAGGTAGGAGGGAGAGGAGGACCCCACATAGACAGTAGCAGGCACTGGGAACACCCCCATCTCAAGCAAGGACGCCCTACAATGGAGGCAGGCAGCACAGGATGAGGACGATTCTTTCCTGAGAGATCAGCTGCTGGCCTCAGTTGTGCTGGGGGTGGGGCAGAGCACTTACCAAAGCCTGTGGGTTCCCTGGTGACTCTGTAGCGTGTGCCCACTAGCCCACAGGCTTCCCCACTTTATACATGGGGCCCCACCCTGCCACAACCCGCCCTCCTTCACCCTCCTACTTTTCTCTGCCTGCTCTCTCACTCCACCTCCAGGCTTCTCCCTCCCGCCCCACCCTCCTCTCTTCTCCTTGTTTCTCTTTCCAGCTCCTCTAACTAAGGTCAGGATATACCTGCAGGGAGTTGCAGGGGACTGGGGACAAGAGGACCCAAATCCAGAAACAATGACTCCCTCAACTGACTACTCATATGTGGAACAGACAGTGGGCTGGCTCCCCCTTGGCAATAAAAGGCTGAAAGATGGATGCAGAAGGACAGCCCAGCCTTGACCTTGACCAGGTCACTTGAAGGCTGGCTACCTACCCTGTGACACCCCTTGCCTTTCTCCTCCATCAGCATCCTGCCAGCCAGCATCCTGCTTTCTCCCCTAAGGGCCCTTTCTCCTCCTTGTCCTGTTCCTTCTCCTGCTAGACCCCTGGGTGGCCTCCTGTGGATAGGTCTCAGGCTGCCTAGAGCCCAGGGGAGGACTTCACCAGGCTCCCTGCTCCCAAGCCACCTGTGCTCCTGGGGCCCTGGCTTCACCCTGATTTTCTCTCTTTCCAACCAATGAGGTGACTTACGTTGCAGAAATGCCCAGGTGTTGAGAACAGTCAGGTCTTTAGAAATAGAAAGTGAAATGAGTAGTTGTGATGGCCTGTGAGGAGGGAGAATGAAGAGTGACTGCTAAAGTGGTTTTCAATTTTGTTTTTGTTCTAAAATTAGATAGTGGTGATAGTCCATTGACTCTAAATATGCAGTAAACACTGCAGAGGGGTCCGCTTGCAATGGTGCAATGTATGCATGTGAATTTTCCCTAATATTATCCTGAGAATAAGCTCAATAAAACTATCACACAACAAAGAAATGCTCTGGTTTTGGAAGAAAACTCAGTCGGGAGCCCCACGTAGCCACACCATCAGGAATCAAATCACCTAGTAGGCCTTTCTTCTTTCCCCGGTCCTGCGACCCAGCTTGAACAGGGATGGAAGGTGGGGGCAGAGGTAGGGCATGGGGGCCTGCAGAGAATCCACAGCCGACAGCTTTTAGCTATTCGTTTCCCAAACCCTTGGCTGTAGACCAAACCGGGTATTTATAACAGCCCGTTCCCCTTTTTCATCTCTCCTGCTCCACTAGGGGCCAATGGTGCGGAGCTCCTAGACCTCTGCCCTAGGCTGAGAGCAGGGTTGCTGGGGCTTGACCTGTTGACCCGGCCTGTGTGGTACCGGGGGTGGGGCTATCGGTGGAACTTACCCTAGGGGCGGGGCTTCGGTGGAATGCGGAGCTTTGTGGGTAGGTCTTACATGAGCCCCACCCCGGCCGGGCTTCAGCCCTGGCTGTCCGGCAGGTGGGCGAAGCCGGGCCGGGACGCGGCTCCGCTTGGCTGCGAGCGTGGGGACGCGGCGTGGCGACCTGGACCGGTCTCTGGCCCGCTGTCCCCGCCAGTCCCGCTGGTGGGTAGCGGCCAAGACGTGGAGCTGCCCAGACTTAGCCCAGGACCCCTGCGAGCGAGTATCCCTTCCTGTCCCCGCGGCCCCGCACGGTTTGTTCCCGCCACAGCCTTAACAGAAGGGCTCAAAGGCTGAGGAGCCAACGCAGAGCAGAGGATCTGGCGTGTTCCTGGGCTCCCTCCGCTCAAGACCCAGGTGCCCCAGCTGGAGACACGTTGCTCAGGGCTCAGGGCGGCGGGGCCCTGCCCAAAAATGGCCTGCTGGAGTCCTTCAGGATAAACTGCTTCCAGCAAGGGACCCCCTTCTTGATGTGTGAAATGAGCGTCTCTGTGGGGACAAAAGCCACCTCCTGCCCTCTGGTCACCAGGCCTAACAATGGGGCCTCTGAGGCCTCTAGCCTGGAGCTGTGCGCGCTCAGGGGCTGACTGCACACCTGGGCCTGCAGGGCGGCTGCGGCCCGCGAGCGGTGAGCAGGACCGCACTCTGTCCTGGGAGATCCCTGGTTGAAAGTGCCACCACTGGGCGCACGCAGGTGGCCCTGCTGTAGAGCAGGGCGGGCGGTAGGCTCTGAGGGGAACACCAACATTAGCTCTCTCTGCAGGGAGTTCCTCTGCAGGCTGAGTGATGGCTCACTCTTATTTCTCTTCTTGAGGACTCTCAGGTGCTCAGTGTTGGCCTGCTTTACAGAAGAGAAGAAGGATGGTCAGGGAGACTCGGTCATTTCCCTTTTTGACCAGGAAGATCAACTTTTCTTAAATACTGTGAAGGAAGGGAGGGCAGTCCTCTCCCTAAGTGGGGAGGGCCGTTGAGCAGATGCCTAGGAGTCCTCAGGAAAGATGCCGGGGAAATGTCCTGACAGGTATAGCTCAGCTGGTTGGGGTTTCACGCCTAGTCAGGGCACATGCCTGGGTTGCAGATTGGGTACCTTGTTATAGGAAAATGAAGCAACCAGACACCGAGGGACTCTGGAGTACGAGGTTTATTAATGTGTATGGGCCCAGAGGAGTCAGTCTCCAAATTCTGAGCCCCGAACAAAGGATTCCTGGGATTTATATAGCCTATGGGGTCTTCCTGTCTACGTAGCTAAGCAAGATACAGAAGTGGAATGCAGTAATTAATTAGTTCTATCTCCAGGGCAGAAGCAGAGTACAAAAGTTAAATGTGAAAATTAGTTCTATCAGCGGGGGTGCTAGTCCCAGTCCTTGTGACTATCCTGCTGTTTGCTTTTCCCAGACGGCCTTATCATTCTCCCAGGGCGCCTGGGGTTTTGGGTGAACAAAGGTTTTCCAAAGCTTCCCACATCAACCTGATCAGGGTTCTTGCGAAAGGCAACGATGTTTCCCTCTCTTTCTTACTCCCTTCCCCTTTCTCTAATAAAATTAATAAAAACTTTTTTTTAAAAAAAGGGTATGGGGAAGTACCACCAGCTGAAGTAAGGGTCCCTATGCAGCTGTATTTGCATGTCCAACCCCCACAACCCCAGGTACTGCCTACAGTTCTCCTCAACCACTGTTGCCTCAAGGTCCCATCAGCTCAGGTGGCCTCTGAGAGAAGCAGCTAGGGGCCCTTCTCTCCCCTCCTCTTCATCATCATGGATCTCTCGGGGAGATCGATGTCCAGTCTGCTGGGCCTGGACTCCCATTATGCCCAGCTGTTTCTTGCTCTGGTCCAGATGCACAATGGTTGCCAAGCAACTGGAGGAAGGGGGAGAAAAGGATGCCCTCCCAGCCTCTGGGCTGACTTTCAGGGACTTGGTTTATATATTGTCCCCGTGTGACCCTTTTTGCTGTATTCCCAATGTGGTTGGTCCTGGTCCCTCCTGCAAGGCCAGCTTTGAGGAGCTTCCCTTCCCAGGCTACCCAGCCACTTCTGTGTTCCAGGGAGCAGCTACACTGATGGTCAGGGTGAGAGGACTCAAGGCTACTGGTACTGGCTGTGGCCTTGGCCTCAGTTCTTGCTCTTCTCCTACTCTTACAGGATTTGTGGGGGCTAGGCCAGGCGGGGGCTGGGGCATGCATGGCTTGAGAGGGAGAGTGGCAGGACCTGGGGAGAGGGTCCCATCCAGTCCTCAGAGCCTCTTTGAAGCTGCTAAGCTCCATTCACCCTGCCTACAGAGGTTTCTTGGGTGCCTCTTACATACCAGCCCTGGGGTGATGGCAGTAAGGAAGCAAACATGTCCCAGACATGAAAGATGACAAGGATGTCACTGTTTCTCACTGGACACCTGTGTTGGGACACTTGTTATCTCATTCATTCAGTACCTATCAAGAACTTTCTGTATGCTAGGCACTGGGTCTGGGTGCTGGGTCAAGCAGTGAAAAAGACAGATGGTCCTAGCCTGGCTCAGTTGGTTGGGTATCGTCCTTAAAAGTGAAAGATCACAGGTTTGATTCCAGGTCATTTAGGGTACATGCCCGTACTGCAGGTTTGGTCTCCAGTTGGGGCTCTTCTGAGAGGCAATTGATAGATGTTTCTCTCTCACATCAGTGATCCTCTCCCTCTCTCTCTCCCCGTCCCCTTCCCCTCTCTCTACAATCAGTAAAAGAGAAAAAATTTAAAGACAGATGGTCCCAGTGCAGAGCAGCAAAAAATGAAGCAAGATGTTGTGAGCTTAGGGTCACTGCTCCTGTCCTGAGTGATAGGGAGACACTGGGGACAATCTGCATTCCTTTAAAGACAGTGGCTGGAGGTAACAATAACCCTAGAGGGTTAATATTTATTCCTATTTTATATGGAAAAAACAACCAACTGAAGCCCTGAGAAGTTAAATTGCCTGACCAAGTAAGCAAGGTCCAGATTCCAAGCTAAGGTCTGACTCCTTCATTCCACATATATGGTACATACTACTGAGTGCTGTATTAAACATTTTTTAAAATTTAATAATATATTTTATTTAACTCTATCTATCAAAATACAGGAGCGGGCAAAAGTAGGTTTATAGTTGTGAGTACACCAAACAGTGTATCTTTGTATTATTATTTATCAATCACTGCATTGCTTATATTGCACTATTTCTTATTTATTTATTTATTTATTTATTTATTTATTTTTAAAGATTTTATTTAGCCCTGGCTGGTGTAGTTCAGTGGATCGAGTGCGGGCCTACGAACCAAAGGATCACGGTTCGATTCCTAGTCAGGGCACATGCCTGGGTTGCAGGCTAGTTCCCAGCAGGGAATGTACGAGAGGCAACCATACATTGGTATTTCTCTCCCTCTCTCCTTCCCTTCCCCCCTCTAAAGAGAAATAAATAAAAATTTTTTAAAGATTTTATTTATTTCTTAGAGAGGGGGAAGGGAGGGAGAGAAACATTGAACAGATGCCCCTGTATTACCAGTTAAACGTGTAACCAAATAAAAATGATTAGTGAGATTTTTTTGTATAGTAAAGCTTCAAAACATGGTTTTTTGTACACCTGCAGCTCATTTCAAGTGCCAAATAGCCACATGTCTCTGGTGTCCACCTTACTGGACAGTGTAGTGCTAGTCACAGATAATGTTCAGCACTTAATTTTTTGTTGTTTCTTCTTTTAGAGCACTTTAATTTTCCTAGCAGAATTGAGGGGAAAGTACAGAGAGTTCACATGTACCCTATGCCCTACACATGCACAGCCTCTCCTGTTATCAACATCCCCATCAGAGGGGACATTTGTTAGCAGTGATGAACCCACACTGACACATCATCATCACCCAGAGTCCATTGTTTACATTAGAGATCACTCCTGGGGGTGTACATTCTGTGGGCTTGAACAAATGTATTGTGACAAGAATCTGTCCTTATCCATCCATCATAGGGTATTTCACTGCCCTAAAAACTCTCTGTGCTCCAAGTATGTCTTTTTTAGCCTGATATTTTGACAGCCGGAAGGAAATTCCCCTCCTAGGACTAGCCAATTTCTTGCTGTTCACCCTTCCTATGCAAACCAGCCAATCCAGACCCACACCCCCAACCACCTGACTGTTATCTGACTGTCACACTGCAGAGACCCCAGAGGACCAGGGTCAGGCCCTATGCCCCAGAGCATGCTGACATTATTCAAAGTAACCAATCCTGAATCTGCTCACGCCGCCTTACCCATTCCTTCCTGTGAAAACCACAATAGAGTCTTACCTCTCCCTCTGCCTCCTGCCTGCACCCCTCTCCCTCTGCCTCCT